ATAATATAATATTATTAATTAATTTTAAATGAAACCCCTTTCATATTCACCGGAAAATTGTTTAACGACCATGGAAAGAGAGAACAATTTGAGAACCTATTCAAGTTCAGGTCCATTGAACGTGTTGAAATGGGTAGAAGCTTCTAGGACGGACGGTTCAGCCTGGAACTCGAGCTGGATTCCTCGCAATGGAGAAGGGACCAGCAGAAAGTGGAAAAAACGGAGTTCACATTTCCAATCAAAATGATGACATACGCGATTGCGAAAATGGAAGAACATTGGGGAACTGTGGCTACAGTAATTCCAATTATTGCTTATTTTTGGTGATACACCATCTAACATGAGGTGATGATCAATTAGCCGGTTCAGGGTTGGCCTTAATTTTGTTTGCAATCATGGGGAGCTAAATCGTGTCAAAAGCCCATGAGGGAAATGTACTCCAGGCCTAAATCAAGAGCCCCAACTAGTGGGGCCTTTTGGTTTTCATTTTTGGGCCAGGTTCTTACTTCTGGGCTGAATCTATCACTTCATGTCTGATTTCCTTGGCTAGATTTGCCGACTCATTCCTTCTTGAAAGGCCCATGGCTCATTTCGTGAGGATTCCAATTAGCGATTGTGCAAATAATTATGATTCTATAGAACTTAAGATTGAAAATATTAGTAAGTAAATGTTGTTTTGTAATTAAATTTAAAATTTAAGTCTTATTATTAGTATTTAAAGAAATTAATTTTTTTAAATGTATCCACTTATATAAGAGGTGCACTTTTAAGATTATCTGAAAAAAAAAAACCTTGAAATATGTAAAAATTAATTCAAAAACACTTGATTATAAATAAAAAAAGAATTTTATAAAACAGAGATGTTTTGAGCAATTTAGACTTCACTATATTAATCATCGAATAAGAATAGGTACTTTTCAATCTTATAATTCTAACTTTCATTTTATCATAGTTTAAATTGTAAAATCGTAAATTTTCATATAAATTCTTATACAATAATTAAAAATGAAAATGGTGTGCAGAACGAATTTTTTAGGTCATATCCACTTTCTAGTTCAGTAGCTTACCTTTTGGCTTTGTACGCATGTAAATTTTCATTTTCAAAAGAGGAACTTCAAAATTTGAAAGCCGGCATTACCATCTATATATTTACTTCTTTCACGAATATGGAGTAGATGTCTTCGATCACAAATATGGAGTAGATGTCTTCAATTTACTCAAGCTGGTGGGAAATGGTTTTCAGTTTCTATTCAAAAATCAAAATGGACGTTGAATGAGAGGGAAAAACAAAGCCACGAGAAAATCAGAAAAAAGGAAAAAATGGTTAGCCCACTTTTTACAAATAAAACATTAATGAAACATTTTAGGACCAAAGGGGATTCCTCTTGCTTAGCTTTACACTAACCCCCCAACAAAGCTTGGAGATGAAGCGTTCCCTTTCCCTCCATTGGGATTTCAAATGAGAAGTCAAAATCAACGAATGGAATTTTGGTGGCCGTTGGGAGGAGCCTATCAAAGCAAATCTTCGGTTGGAACAACCTCCATTATAAAGCATACGAGGAGTGGGAGAGAGATTATTTGAAGCCTTGCAAGGAAAGCAGGTTCGGAAAGGTTTTATGAAGGAACTAAACAAGGTGTATATACGATTCATTATTAGACCTTAACTTCAACTCCAATGTCGTTTTCCTAATCATTCATGGTGTTAGTTATAGCAACATACTCATAATTGTTTATTGCACTTATAGATTCCTTCACAGTCTAATCTTTAGGTTTTAGGTCTTAGTTAAATCAATCTCAATTTTCACTTATGTAGAGTAAAATTTGTTTGTTTTGTTTTGTTTTTTGTTTTGTTTTTTTTTTCTCTCTCTCTCTCTCTTTTTTAGCAAATTACAATTTTAAAGAAAGAGATTTGAACTCAAGTAATAGACCTAATAATGCATTTGCAAACCACTTGAGGAGGGTAAGGGTTTTTTCACATTTGGAAATGTTAGCTTTGTAAACTTATTGTTATATGAAAAATAATAAAATATAATACAGTTTGAATTGTATTGAATTATACTATATTAACTATAGAAAAAAATAAACTCCTCAAATGTTAGAGATCTTTCACCCAATTAAAAGTTTTTGTTTTACAATTTAATGTAATTTAAATTGTAAATTAAGATTATATTATTATAAACCAAAAAAATGACCCTAATGATATCTCATTACTAAAAACACCCCTAAAAAGTAAAAACCCTTAGTAGACATTATCTCAAGCCTTTAAACCCAGGATTGATTAATTTAAATTTATGATCTCAAAGTATGTTTGGGGTGTAGTTGAACAATTACTGAATAATCCTTCCCATGCCAGTACATTACTAACATGCCCCACCATCCTAGGATTCTCTTTTACAGGGGTTGTCAAAAAAGACAAAACATCCTTTGCTGTCTATATATCCTTAGTATTCATCAAAATGCAGTTGCTATTATTCACCAAGACCATACCAATCTCC